GTCAGCAGCACCTACTCCTTTACTTTAATTTGAGATTGAATATTTGCACTTAAACATTGAACTAAGATGGGGTAATGAGATGAATTCATGAATTCATTGCCGTAAAGTTTTGTGCGTTATTAGGTTTTAATTCCTCAAGAGAAAAGCACTGTAATTGGAATGCACAGCAGAAGACCGCCGGCCTTTAATTTTGAACTTTGCATTATTCATTAATGAATAAAGTTTTATGCTAAGGCAGAAGACTATGAACGTAAATATAATGATATAAAGGAATAATAGAAGTATGTTTCAGATAAAGAAATGAGTCAATTTGCTTGGGAGAAGAATTTATACTTTGTATAAAAAAAAAAAAAAAAAAAAAACGCGAATATTATTTTACTTTTATTTTCGCATTGTATTCGTGCATTTTCGTAGCAACAACTACTGTTTTCTTTCTCATTGAGCTGGGTGAAATCCTATTCATTTGTCAACGAAAGTCGTTTTTACTTCCTTGTACGAAGCAAATGAAGTATCGTAATCGTGAAAAGGTTCGGGTATCATATTTCAAAGAAAATATCCATTTTGACCGATATCGAATGCAATTTAAGGATGTTTTTGTGTGACATCTCTACCTAAGGACAGAAACAAAAAACACTTTTCCCCCAAAAAATTGTAAAATGGATTGAGAACAGATATGTTTCGTGACGGCTGTACGTACGAAAGTAAGTATGTATGTATCTATCTTGCATAATTCAAAACCGAGTAGCCTCAGAACGTTGAAATTTTGTATATTGGACTGCTATAACATGTAGTTGTGCACAGCCCTTTTTGGTTGCAATCTGCCACACCAAACTTATATATATATATGTGTGTAATAATAAAATTCTATAGTCAAAAATACACTTAAAATTCTAACTGTATGTTCTTTCCATTTTTAATGGCGACGTTCTCTTATTTGAAAGTACGTGGAATTAAATCCACAGCCTCGTAGTCAAGTTGTTTTTCCCACCTTTTCTACACGTACAGTTATAGAATGTTCTGGAAATATTTAAAGCGAACTGGATTGGCTGACGAGACTGATGTCATTCTTGGAAGCTCCGCATTTCCAGAGGCTATAAAAGGACTCGCAAAGGAATATCGGGGGCTTTTTCTTTAATGTAACGATGCAGTAAACTTCATACAAAAAGTTATTAGTGATTCTTTTTATTTACTCCGGATATCTGATTTTGTAACTGCTATTTCTCCTGAAAAATAATAAATGGGTCCTGTTTTTTAAACTTGACGTCTGATAATTTAAGCTACGACAAAAGCTAGTACATCACACACACACATATATATATATGTGTGTATATGTATATACCCATTCTGTTGCTCTACTCGGTGAGCTCACTTTTTGTTATTCTTATATGTTAGTGCATTTTTTGCTTTAAAAATGATTGCATAATGTTAGTCTTATGTTCCGGTTAAGAATTTTGTGTCTTTAGTTAATCTGCATGCAATAGTTGTAGAATTATCAACTGTTTAAATGTTGTTTAGTTGCTGCATCTATGCCTAACGGAGCAGCCATATGTGTTTACATTTGAAATTTAGCAGAGTAGTGAATTAAGTTAGTTTCTGCAGCTTCAGTGTCTTTTTGCCGAGTGGGAACAAAAGTAAACTTTTAGTTTTGTGCATCGAAAATCCATCTTTCTGCCCGCTAGCCAACTTGCTTGTTTTTGGTTAGAAATTCTAATTTTAATTGTAACAATTGTTTTTTGATTGTTTTAACTGCATCTGATGTTTCACCTTTTTTTATACTTTTAAATTTTTAATAAAGGAGTTTTGCGGTTTTTGTATTTTTACCTTGCCACGAAGTGAGAAGTGAAAAATTAAACGAAAAATGTATCTCTAATGAAATTCAAGGAAATAAGTTTAAATAAAGTTCAGGGGAAAAAAAAAAAAAAAGTGCATAATTTAATAGGCCATACAAGGAAGTCATGTGGTGTCCAGATAAGCTATCAGATTTTTTTTTCTTATATTAAGGGAAATTAAGCATGAAAAAGAGTAGAATTTTATGCGTTACTGAAATAAAATCGACTAAATTGCCGTTAGAAATTCCCTTTGCTGATATCAGAACAAATTATGTCAACTTTTCATTATACTCTTATGAGATTAATAGGCATCAAAAAAACTTAATTCAAACAACGCTTTCTTAAGGCGTAGTCTCAAAACAATTACCTAAAGTTTAAGTCTCCTAACAGATAGTTCTTTTAATAAAACGTATTTGACTGCTATCGCTACAGCGTTTAACCTGCTATTTATTTTATTCTCAGTTGTTTCTATGGAATTATAATTCGGCTTCGGTGACTTTTGAGCATTGCCAAAACTCTGCATATTTGCTTCAATTGCTTTGCAATCTAAATTTAAATTACAGACCTGTAACGTGCATGCACACGAAACTTATTTTGTCTCATAAATGTTTAGTTACTTTCTTTATAAATTGTGAAATTAATTTATATTATAACAAATGAGTTAGTAATCAGTTTGCAGAGACATTGGGTATTTTTTGGAAGCAAGCAAGATGAAAAATTAGCAACCGCCTTCGCCGGGAATCGAACGCGGTTCTCTGGAATACCGGCCCAGCGTACATAACCACTACACCACGAAGGCACGCTAGGAAAGTGGGAGAAATATCTTATATACTCCCCCTTTTTTTAAGGGTTCATGGGGCTTTTAGGGGACCCAATCGCCAAATCCTGGGTGTGGAGAAACCTTATCCAACACCCTTTTAGTTCGGGCGCCACTTGTAGGGACATTAGGTATTTTTTGAAAGCAATCAAGATACAAAATTAGATACCGCTTTCGCTGGGAATCGAACCACGTACCTCTGGAATACCGGCTCAGCGTACAGAACCACTAAGGCACGGAACACGAAGGCACGGACCGCTAAGGCACGGAACCACTAAACACGAAGGCACGCTAGGAAAGTGGGAGAAATACCCTATATACTCCCCCATTTTTTAAAGGGTGACTGGGGTTTTTAGGGGACCCAATCGCCAAATCCTGGGTGTGGAGAAACCTTATCCAACACCCTTTTAGTTCGGGCGCCACTTGTAGAGACATTAGGTATTTTTTGGAAGCAGGCAAGTTGAAAAATTAGCAACTGCCTTCGCCGGGAATTGATCCACAGACCTCTGGAATACCAGCCCAGCGTGCAGAACCACTACACCACGAAGGCACGCTAGGAAAGTGGGAGAAATACCTTATAAGTTAAATTCTTTTAACAATTACTTCAAACATTCTGCACAGAAACAAAAGTAATGCCTTCAATTATTAATGGTTATTTGTGGAATTTGTATTGCGACAACTGAGTTAATAAATCGAATCAATTTCTCCGCTTTTACCAATTCAAAAATGCTTATGCAGAAACAAAAATAATACCCGCAAATGGCCAAAAGAAATTTTCATCTGTAAATTACTAGGGACATAAATCCCCTCACAGAATAACTGAATATATAAAATAAATTAAACCATTGCGTGATCTCTACTTGCTTGTGTGTCGACACAGTTCCATATCATCATTTGCCTTGACACTCTGCTTCGTGAATTAATAAATCTTCCTCAAAAATAAACATAGCATTATATATCATTACAATACATTAATATTTTTCAAATATGCTTTAATCTCATTATGTCATGTGCACAACTCTGCCATATAATGAGAGGTTTGAGAATATTCACTGAAAAATGACGTTTAAATTATGTTTTGACAGCTACTAGTCAACCATGGCAACTAATGCAAGCCTTTTGGAATGGGACAATTTGAATTCGTATTTTATTTATCATAATGCGTACATTTTACGGGACTCATACACCTTAAAACCCATAAAATCTTCGAATATGTGACTTCTCCAAGAATTGGGATAACTTATTTATTTTTAAAGCAATTACTTCCAACCTTTTATGGCTGACTACATAATATAGCTGCTTTCTGAAATCGTAATCAGAAAGTTTGTATTGCCACAGATAATTTTATAATTTAATCCGCTTTGTGACAAAAACTTTCGTCATGTTTCCACCTTGCGCGCGTTGTTTAAAACATTCAGTTGCATAATTTAATTCCATAGTTTATATATAGCTTTTATAACATTTGGAAACTACTGTAAACCAAAAAACTGAGAATTTCATGTTAAATATTTATTTTATTTGGAGTTGAGTTTATAAAATGTATTTTATTAATAAAAATCTAAAATGTTTCCGTGCATAAAATTTTTTAATATTAAAATATTCATCAGATTTTTGGTTCAGTTAGAAAATAAGGCCCGTATAAAGAATTCCATCAAATTTTAAGTATGTACCATTAGCCATTTTTAAAATATCATGCGCGCAAGGTGGAAAAATGACGAAACATTTTGTCACAAAGCGGATTAAATTACAAAAATATTTGTGGCAACACAAACTTTCTGGTTACTAGTTTCCAAAGCAGCTATATTATGTAGTGAGCCATAAAAAGGTGGAAGTAATTGCTTTAAAATAAATAAGTTACCTCAATTCTTGCAACAGTCACATAATTCGAAGCTCATGAGGGATTTAAGGTGTATGAGCCCCCTTAAACTCTTATTTCAGTTTAGTATTCAGCTAAATTCGTTTCATTTATTTGAGTGATATATTGTTTTCCATGGTTATTTAAAAAGTGGAATAAATTAAATTTTTAATCCCATTTCGCTACGCTATAAATCGGTATTTTCAAGTGTTTGGATTTAGTTCAAAATCTAACTACAATAACAATAGTTACATAAAACAAAGCTGTATCAAATGTGAGTAAAACAAATGTAACCATCTAAAAGCGGTTAATATGGTATACGATCTAGCTGACTTCTGACTTCTAAATCACGTTTTTGTTAAAAATCCTAATAACTTTCTCATACCATTAATTCTACAGTAATCATATTCAGACATTTCTGGTTCAGTTAGAAATGGTTTTTCTTTTGTGTGTTTTTAATCAGTAATATGCTCATAAAATTTTGACTTTTTATATAAAGGGTGGTCAAAACGATTCTGTTCAAGGCAGTACGATCGATCAAGCTGTCTCCGAGTTGAGTACTGTAAATGTAAAGTAATTGTTTTACTAAAAGTATTATTTGGTTAAGGACCAATTTTTAAGATGATTGGCTGATACAAGTATGTTTTCTGCTGCATAAAGGAAGTCTTACAAAATAAATTTTACTCCATCATCAGTATGGATCGAGATTGCTCTTTTAACCTTTTGAAGACGGGATGGCCATTATAGTGGCCATAGAGTCCTCTCTTTGAAAAGACGGGGTTGTCCACTTTAGTGGCCATGTCTTTTTCCCCCGTTTTCCAGGCTGAAAAGTGGGGTGAAATGTCAAATTTGACCTCCGTGGGGTTTTAACCACTTACCTCTTTCAAAGGTCTTTCTTTTGCGACATAGATGCACCCCTCTGAGAATCCATTAAACTACACACAAGAATCTTTGTTGCAAATAGGAGGTGATTTCTTAAAAGGGGAGAAAGCATTCGGTTCAAGATTCCCCGTCCTTTGGTAGCTTTTATTGCTACCAAAGCCCCGGCCTCAAAAGGTTAATGACTTTTCTTTCAGACCGATGATGAAAAAAAGAACATAAAAATATTAGAAACTGCGAAGTTATACAAAAATTTGCTATTAAGGGGACTCATACACCTTAAATCCCTTATGATCTTAGAATATGTGACTGTTGCAAGAATTTGGATATTTTATTTATTTTACAAGCAATTACTTCCAACGTTTTACAGCTGACTATATAATCCGGCTGTTTTGGGAACTAGTAACTGGAACGTTTGTGTTGCCACAAATATTTTTGTAATTTAATCCGCTTTGTGACAAAATGTATCGCCATGTTTCCACCTTGCGCGCATGATGTTTTAAAAATGGCTAATAGTACATACTTGAAATCTGATATAATTCTTTATATGGGCACTAGTTTTTAACTGAACCAAAAATCTGACGAATATTTTAATATTAAAAAGTTTTATGAACGAAAACATGACAGATTTTGTTATTAAAATGCATTTTATAAACTCAACTCCAAATAAAATAAAAATTTAACATGAAATTCTTAGAAGTTTTTATTTACTGTAATTTTCGAATAATATAAAAGCTATATATTAAATATGGAATTCAATTATGCAACAGAATGTTTTAAACATTGCGCGCAAGGTGGAAACATGACGAAAAATTTTGACACACAGCGGATTAAATTATAAAACTATTTGTAGCAACACAAACTTTCTGATTACTATTTCAAAATGCAGCTACATTATTTAGTCAGCTGTAAAAAGTTGAAAGTAATTGGTTTTAAAATAAATAAGTTATCCCAATTCTTGCAACAGTCACATATTCGAAAATCTTATGGGTTTTAAGGTGTACAAGTCCCCTTAAGTGCATTTCAACTTTTGATTTTCTTGTGCGCACGAGATTTTACGGATGGATGACCCTTTGAATGCAGGCTGTCTCGACTTTCCACCATAGTTGCAAGTGGTTTTCACACACTTTCTCACATCTATCACAGAACTGTGATAGAAGGTAGCATTGCATTGTTTTATGAATTTCTGCAACTAAGATCTAGGAATAGCCTCTTTAGGATCTGTTTTGATTCTGTCTATAACATCAGCGATACCATTATTTGTCCCACTTGTTCCACACATCATTCTGATTTCATCGAATGATTTACAAATCGACTTCATCGCACTCATTATCTCAGCTAATTGTGGATACTATGACTTCAGTGCCATTGAACGGAAATCTTTTGATCACCCACACATGTTATGATATTTAATATAAATATCTTTTGCTACAGGAATTTTCCATAAAAACATAAATCTTTATAAATAAGTGGAAAAGGAAAACTTTAAGAAAAGTTTTAATTTTATTTTGTAGACTTATTTAGACATCATACTGTTAGAATACTGTATCAGTATTATAAATGCATGTATATATATACAGACATTTTATTTGTTTAGACCCACCTGCTGTATTTGTTACGCCAGACGGTACTGTGACTGTGCAAGAGTCTTCAACAGTAAATATTACATGCGTATTCGACGCAAATCCGCCGGATGTCACTGAAATCGTCTGGTACAAGGACAACAGCCGCTTACAGCGGGACACAACTCAACGCCTAGAGACGAGGCATCCTTTATCGGCCGTGTTAGCACTTTTCAACTTGTCCAGGCATGATTCTGGAACCTACACATGCCATGTGAGGAACGCCTTCGGCAGAGGGAATTCTACAACAGCTTCTGTGTTGAATGTATTATGTAAGTTTGTATTTAATTGGTGTCAATTAACAGGGCTTAGAGAGTGATTGAGATCAAGAATTTTTATTAGCATAACTTGGTATATTTGCGAACTCCTTAGTAACTAAGGGAATGAATGTTTGAAGCCAGCAACAACGCATATTTTAAAATTAATTTAAGAGGTTCATTTCTGTCAAGAGGCGAGCTTGGGTTGCCATGGGAAAACAGGCGTGTTTCTAGGTTGTGTCTCTAAATGAATCCCTTCTAGAAGCTAACTTCCATCCCACCATTCCGTAAAATGAACTGAATATACGAGTAATTATACATATAAGGGGAACAGAAATTTCCTTTTAGCTAGCTAATAATGTTCGAGAATTAGCAGAACTGTTGTTTTAAATGTAGAAATACGGTTGAACATTTCATTTGCTTCAAAAGTTTACATGCAGATTTACTTAAATCTGTAGAGTTTAATAAAGAATTTTAGATTGATTATATGATTAATTTTTCCTCAGTTTGTATTTCAGATATTTTATTTGAATCATACATTCAAATAAATTGTAGGATTCAAATAAAAATCATATCAATATTTTTAAATTTACAGGCAAATTTCACTTTACAGTATTTTTAAATGTACAGATACGTTTGTTTTATCGAGGGAGAATGAGTATTACAAGACTTACAGTTTCATACATAAAAGTAAACATAATGGAGTTGCTATGAAAATCTTTAAATACAGCATTTTCTAAGGGCACTAAAATAATTTCTGGGGTCATATTGTTTAAGTCATGCAATTTTAAATATATGTGCGCGCAATATCTAGCTTCGATTTTTCAACCAAAGGTAACATGTATCAAAATAGTTCTTGCAGCAAATTTTTGTTTATGTGTAATATTATGACCTTCTTCTGGCTGTTGTCCATTTTTGACATTTTTAGAAGCGTGGCAGATCAGAGTAGTGCCCGGCATCTTCAAATTATGGAAATCCTTTATTTTCTTTAAAAAATTCGACTTCTTGATTTTGCCTTCCTAATAATTTCTCAAACTATAAATATTTTTCAGATATTACTCTAAACATTATTTATTCATAATACTATTAACATTTAAGGGGAATCATACACCTTAAACCCCTCATGATCTTCGAATATGTGACTATTGCAAGAACTGGGATATTTTATTTATTTTAAAAGCAATTACTTCCAACTTTTTACAGCTGACTTCATGATATATCTGCTTTGGAAACTAGTAACCAGAAAGTTTGTGTTGCCACAAATATTTTTGTAATTTAATCCTCTTTGTGACAAAATATTTCGCCATATTTCCACCTTGCGCGGATGATATTTTAAAAATGGCTAATGGTACACAATTGAAATTGGATGGAATTCTTTATATGGGCACTTTTTTCTAACTGAACCAACAATCTGATAAATATTTTACTATTGAAAAATTTTATGGACGAAAACATTACAAATTTTTTTAATAAAATACATTTTATGAACTCAACTCAAAATAAAATAAAAATTTAACATGAAATTTTTAGAATTTTAGGTTCACAGTAGTTTTCAAATGTTATAAAAGCTATACATCTATACATTAAATATGGAATTAAATTATGAAACAGAATGTTTTAAACTGTGCGCGCAAGTTGGAAACATGAAGAAAATTTTTGTCACAAAGCGGATTAAATTATAAAAATATTTGTGGCAACACAAACTTTCTGATTACTATTTTAGAAAGCAGCTATATTATGTAGTCATCTGTAAAACGTTGGTATAATTCCTTTTAAAATAAATATGTTATCCCAATTCTTGCAACAGTCACCTATTCTAACATCTTATGGGTTTTAAGGTTAAATGGCTCAAGAATTTACCAAATGATTTCCGTTTTCAATACAAGTCGTTGAGCAGATATGTTAAGCAATTCTGATGAGAAAACGTTTTGTTTAGTGTTAACCCTTTAACTGTCAAGTTATTTTGATGATTTGGGTACACAAATTGTTACATTTTTTTATTGCAAAAATCAAATGTACAAAATAAAACATTCTTAAGTAGTTAAAAATTGATATTTTGAAGTACATGGGTAAACTTTTTAAAGTTTTGTAGCTACTGCGTATTTGCTTGAGGCGGCTGCCACTCAACATGGCAGTTGTAAAGTTCGCTTCTAGTTTTAGAAAATAGTGGAGCACTATTTTCTAAAAATGAAGAAAATTAATTATTTTCTAAAAAATAAATAAATATAAGTGAATACCTATTAGTAGTTCAGTAATTCAGTCATGTGTGGTACAAATGGAAACACTTTTCCAAGCACAAACCAACTCCACAATCACTACACCAGAATCGTGATTCCTTCCTTATCTTTTCCCCATTTTTATCCTTTTTCGAACAACACACTTTGCACTGTCTAGGCTCACGTTTCGCAGGAGTAGGAGGAATATGGGATATAAAATGTCGTTCAGTAAGACGGGCAGGGTTATCTATTGTAGGTGGTCTGCCAACATTCTTTTGTCCAGAAGCTGCATCATCATATTTATGTAAAAGCTCTTCTTCAACTTGGATTTGAAATTCTAAAAATGTAATACGTTTTCCAACTACATTTTTATAGAGCAAATATGAGTTCCAGAGTACCTTGTCTAAGTAAATGTAAGAAATATCTTTTTATAATATTTTTTCTGACGTTTTCGGATTGTTGGATGAAATGATATTTCCTAATCACAGCGATCTATACCACCCATAGTTAGACTGTAATTCGAAACAATCTTCGGCTTGACTATATCTCCATTTTTTTATTTTTGAGGCTGACCATGGAAGTATCATGAAAACTGCTCATCAAACACACATCATTCATCTTCGGTTGAAGAATCTAAATCATCTATATAACGTTTCAACGTTGTTTAGATATATAACGTTGTTTTCTTCGCCCTGTAACCCCACGCTTTTCAAGCGTGTAGTGACAGCAAGATATACCTTTTAAAATGATAAATGGCAGATGACGAAGAACGGGGGCACCAGGTGTCTACCAGAGGTAAGCAGGTACATGCCACTCGTCCTCCACAATCCAGTGCATGTTGAAGAAATAAAACATATAGGTGGGAAACATGACCTTACTCGGACTAGGCAGCTGTACAATGGCTACAAATTTGAGAGCAGCGGGTGGCAAGAGAAGGTCTTATATGACATGACAGATATCCTGTCCCAGGGCTGCAGTCGTGACATAGCTTTTCCGCCGTCACACGATTGTGTATAATAAAGCGCCAGTGAGTGTCCACACTACTGAAGAACTGACGTAGGTGAGTGGCGTTGGTGAGAGGACATTGATAGACGTCGTGGTCTGGGGAACCTTCTGCTTCGCAGACGCAGGTTGCAGATTCGGAAATGCCAAAGCGTAGGAAATAAATAGGAAACGGTAAATGCTAAACAAGAAACGTAAATGGCAACAACTGATATAAAACAGTAGAAGTAACAACGCTTAGATGTACGGCTCTCCTGGTTGTAAACTGGCAGCCCAACGTGGGACCCGAATGATTTATCCGGTTAAAGAACAACCAACGTTTAAGAATTCAAAAGTTGCTTCGAACCACGGGAGATATTCCATATAGTGAACTTTTCAAGAAGCGTCCTGATTCTACGCAGTTAAATGAACTATCCACATTCAATGACGTCTGAAGAGAATCATCCAGATTTAATGACGTCTGAAGAGAATCATCCAGATTTAATGACGTCTGAAGAGAATTATCCAGATTCAATGACGTCTGAAGAGAATCATCCTGATTCAATGACGTCTGAAGAGAATCATCCAGATTCAATGACGTCTGAAGAGAATCATCCTGATTCTACGCTGTCGGGTGATTCACCCAGATTTAATGTAGTTGGAAGAGAATCACCATGATTTTGTGCAGTATGAAGATGAGCTGTCGATTTCTTTAGAACCGGAAACCGCATAGAGAGAAAAAATAAAGACTTCAGAGTTTTATTACTAAATTCTGTTTGCGGAACAAATTGTTCAACATATGGTTGATAGCATACGCGAAGTAAATACTGTAGAACAGATTCCTCCTATTTATTACACGAATTCGTTTGAATCACTTCAAATGGGATTAAGGGAAGTGGTATGAAAAATATTGCTACGTGCATAAGGGTTCGTAATAGATTGAATGCACACAGGTCCGATCATAGGTTAATGAAATTTATTTTTATCGAAAGAAACACTTCAGAGTTCTGGAGTGATCTGTACTGTGCGCACAGGTGCTCACAGTATCACATAATACAATCAGTTGTTATACAACTAGTAAGAACGTTGAACACAATGCGATGCAAAGCACATCTAAAGAGAAAGCTGGCTTTGATACGTCTCAATTCACGCTGAACTAACAACTCTTAACAACAATAACTGAGCAACTGAGAGCAGATGCTCTCTCTCCGGCCTTATATATAGTTTTCACCCAACCGCCGAGATGTTTCTATTACTTTCTAGTTATAGACATTACTGGAAAGCAATATGAGGGCCGAATTACTGTTGTAGCTAATACAGTGATCGATTACATTTATTCAATTACAATACCCATTACGATAATACAGAGACCCGACCAAAATGTCGCCAAGTTTGGCGACCTTTAGCGATTTCCTGCCAAAGCTGAAACTGTTAAGACACAATAAAACGCCGAACAAATACTAATTCAGAAGTCAAACAACAAAAATCAGCGTTATATTTTAAATTTTTCACAGGACTAGTTTCAATGGTTTTACCGAAACAACATTTTACGCTTTTGCAGCTGAGGATGATGGTTCGGTAAAACCATCGAAACTAGTATTGTGAAAATTTGAAAATATAATGCTGATTTTTGTTGTTTGACTTCTGAATTAGCTGAAACTGTTGTCAGTCTGGCGATATCTCGCCAAATAATCGAGATACCCATTTACGTTAAATTAACGTAAATAGGTATCTCGATTACTTGGCGAAACTTGCCCTGTCTTCTTACATTTCCGGCATAGCTTCTCTTTAGATTTTTCATGTTACAAAAGAAATACA